AACCGTTAAGTATTAATCGTGGGAACGTGAAGGGTTATAAACGTTGAGTAATAAACATGGGAACGTGAAGGGTTATAACCGTTGAGTAATAAACGTAGGACATTAATGATGGGGATTTGAAAAGTTGTGGCTTGTGAGTCGTTGGATCAAACTGATCCAACGGTTCGTAGGGGTGTGACGGTTAGGGTTCGTCCCTTGAGAACACTATAAATAGGGGTGGTGGGGACCAATTCTTGGTGTGTTTACTTAATTGTAGCGTGCATTTGCTTTGAGCCGACGTAGAGACCAAGCCTGTGTGCTAGTTACCAACCGAGAGCGTCCTCCTTTTAAGGTACGCTTTAATGGCTGATTTTGAGATAGAGGTGGAGGATAGGGTTTCCCAAGCTGGTTCCGTTGGGGATAGTGGGGCAGGTTCTGCTAATGCGAGTTCGCGTGAGCCTTCGGATCAACCGGGCGCTTCGGGTTCGGCGTCGAATAAGTCGGCCAGTGTGGAAATTGTTGAAGGGTTCGAGCGTTCGCAGAGTGTAGAAGAGGCTTCTTCTATCGAGATGGTCGAAGGCCGACCAAGTACTCGTAGAGTCGGCTCGGCTTCTCGTTCATTGCCCTATAGAGGTTCCCGGCTATCTGTGGGTACATGGAGAGGTGGGCAGCGTATTTTCGCAGTATACCGATAAGGGTTCGATTGCGTTGCTGTTCGACACTGAAAATTTCGTTACCCTCCCAGAGGGTGAGGTACCGTCTGGCTTCTTTTTCGAACCGTGCCGAAATGACGGGTCATGGGACTCAGATTTTGTCTTTCTTGGCCGAGGGAAGTGTACATATAACTTCTTTTTTGTATATGACTATTTGTTTCGGGATTTGGGGGTGACGCTCCCTTTCGATAAGTTTTTCATGGGTGTGCTCCGGTTGCTCAACGTGGCACCGACACAACTTCATCCAAACAGTTGGGCCGCGATGCAGGGGTTTCGGCAGTTGTGCCTAGCGCTCCATATCGAGCCGACTCCACACATGTTCTTGTATTTCTACTCCTCTAGGCCGACGAAGAAGGCGAAGTGGCTCTCGTTGGTGCGGGTAGAGCATTGCTTGCTTCAGCCGTTCACTACCTCCTACAAAGGGTTTAAAGTACGGTTTTTTAAGGTGATGATTCGGTCCGGTAACGACGACAAGTATGTTTTTGATGACGAGGGAAAGGTGTTATTTCCGTTGTACTGGACTCGAGCACCGAGGAAGTACGACGTAGTGTCGAAGTCCAAGATGTCTTCTGCAGAGCGAGCTGACTTGTCATTGTTGGAGAAACTGCCTCGGCCGTTATCGTGCCGAGATCTTGTTCGGCTTACGAAGTCATCAAATCCACTAGACGCTTTAATTGGTATAGCATCTGTCTTATGTTTAAATTCCTGCGTTGTCATTGATTTTGACTAGTGTTTGTGCAGGTATCATGACGAGTTGTGGAAGCGACAACTTGGACATTCGCAACCTGATCCGTGGCCGAGCTCCCACGCCAGTGCCGACTGGTCACGGAGGTAACCGGGGTCCGGCCCGTGAAACGGCCCGGCCCTAGCTGAAACAAAAATATAAGGCTGCTCAGGATGCCCAGAAGGCACGGCCCCCGAATGAACAGCCTGATGTCGAAGCTCCTGTTCGCCACCAGGCCGGACCGAGTGGTGAAGAACAGGTGCATGAGGAAGTGGCCGAGTAGGAGGTGCCGCCCCATGGGGAGCCCGAGGCCGAGGCTTAGGGTTGTTTTCTTTGTTGATTTTTGTAATCCGAGGCCGATAGAGCCTCTTGATGAATTTTGCTGTATTTTCAGGCCGATAGAGCCCTCTTTTAATGCCAGTTACTTTTGTTTGTCCAATACATTTGCTTGAATATAACATCTAACGACTTTAAGTTGTATATTAATAATGGGGTAGAGGGTGTCACAAATAACATGACTTGTTATAAGCTATGACTCAAATCAAGCTAGTTCACAATAGGTTGAGTACTCATTTTGTTAACTCTAGATCTAACTTAGTTATTTGAACACCCATAAATAAAATTCACCATAAATTGTAAATAAATGATTAAATATGTACCCATTTAATAATAGGGCGAGCACGCATAATAAAGTGAGTAAATGTACTTTAAAAATATCTTTAATTATATATAAAGTAATTTAATTTAATTAATTTTTACTATAAATATATATGTCATAATTATTTATTTTAATACAAATGTGTTGCAAAAATATTTTTTAATATAAATATATATTTTAAAATTATCTTTTTTAATTTTATTTTCATACCCTTTTATTTAAAATTTTATATTTTAACAAATAATCACATATATTCATGTTACTATTGGATATATGAAAAATTATGAATAGCTCCTAGACGGATATTCCCATTAAACAAAACATATATAACAAGAGACTACTATCCACGCACCTAGCTTATTACCATTTATTGATAATAATTAATTTTTGATAGATTAAATAAATATTTCGGGGAGGTTAAAAGTCATCTGTAAAGTCTATCATAAATAAATAACTTTCAAAGTCCGACCACAATGATATGCCCATAGAAAATGAACTAATTTCTTCTATTTTTCTCTTCTTTCAATTATCTAATCCAAGCTTCCTAATAATTTATCAATTTTTTTTATACTAATTATCTCTTTTCTCTTAATTCTTTTCATCCTACTTTATTCCTCTCTGGTATCTGCTTTTCTCTATCCAAAATTCCAAACAGTGTAATTGACGTACATCTACACATGTACAAAAGAAAATGTTAAAGAATTCTTGGACCATCTTAAACTTTGTAGAAACCAAACAAACTGATGGATCCGTTGCTAAGTTTGCTCTTTCCAAGAGGTCAGTTGGGCCGAAACAGTGGGTTTGTTGTGAATCCGGGCTTCAAATTTGGTCATATCTAGGAAAAAGAAATAGTTATTTAATACAATAATATATAGTTGATACCACATCTATTTCACACCCTTTAGACTTTTCGTATATCCTTAAATTATTTATAAAAAAAACGTTAATAAATACGAAAAACATTTTCGTGTATGTGATACTTTAATTGACTAGTTTTAAATTCTGACCCTGTTGTTGCTGCAAGAGCCACCACTCAGCACCACAACGTGAGACAATTCTAGCTTCTATCCAATGCTTCTTCTCCATGTCTCTATCGCGTGATTGAAAGTTGAAAAATCATATATCCCTCTTTATTCTCTCTCACCTTTCCTTGTCCCTTAAGGTCAAGAATATGGTTAAATACAAAAACAAAGCACACATGTTCAAGCCAGCAACACTTTCCAACAGGTACCCTATAATACAATTAGGCTACGTTTGCTAGTGCAATATAGCTACATATGTTGGTAGTAACTAATTTCACTTATCTCACATGAATATTGTGCGGTCACCATCATGCATGCATGCATGCATGCAATAGTTCTCACATATAGCAGAGTTGTATAACAAGAAGGAAACTCATTTGAACTATATAATTAACCAAACATGATCACAAAGGTCAGCAAGTGTAAGTGAGTGCGTATAATATAATAATATAACTTAAGGGTAAGCAATTCAACAACAGCAGAAAGTCACCAATATTGTATAAATGACCACTTTTTTTTCTTCTTCTGATTCTGCGATGAGACACGACATTATACGCTAAATCGATATATTTTAGTAATTTGTTTTTCTTAATATAGCTTATATTTATGTTAGCTTGCCCTCCTCACCTAATCATAATCAAATTTAATTGGAACAGGTATATTCAAATTATGATGATGATCTCCTTTAATTTATAAGGAAAAAAAATATACATTAAAATGTTTAAAGATAATATCAAGCTTTAATCGTACAATACACATATCGATCCGTAACCAATATATATACGTACGTTGTCAAAATTGAAATATTCAGATATTATACTTGCTGATCAAGAAGATCATAGCACACCTATACTTTAATTTGCATCGTGCATGCTTCACTAATTAGTCTACATCATTTATCATCTAATACACATTATATCCTGAATCTTGATATTATATCATGAACCTATATCATATTATCCGCAACCATCACTTTGAGAAATTATTAGGTAATTCACACCACCGAATATTTATGATTTTATTCAATTACTATATATAACATATATTTAATGTTTTCAATTTATAAAAAAAATAATTAATAATACATAATTTCACGTCATGTGATTAATTAAAGACTATATGATTCAAATTACCTAATAATTTTCTGTATCACCTCACTTTATGCAGCAAACGAGATCGATACTAACAGAAATTCCAAACTGGACCCAGTAAAAAAGATACTGACTGTACAAGAACACAGCTTTCTTCAGCTAACTTAAAGTTTGGCTCAATAAAAACTCGCACCGAAATATTAAGGATTCCAAAAGCTATGGAACAATGACAAGGACTAGCAACCCAAAATATTTCATCATTTATTCATCGATCGAGATCGGAACCTGAAAGTGTTATAAATATGTAATAAAAATAATTTTAATTATCCTATGTATAAACATTATCTTAACAATCTTCTTAAATACTAAATAAAAATACTATTTTTTATATTTTCAAATTAAATATATTTTGTTAGTACTTTTTTTTATATATAAAATGTTCTAAATAATTACTATAAAACATTAGTATATATATAAATATACATCAAGTATTAAAGAATGCTGACGATAGTATATGATTCCGGTTTTAGGTTTACTTCTTTGTCGGATATCAAGTGCAACAAAAGTCCACTGAAAATGCTGCACCAACCATAATTTCAAAAAATATTGGCAAATTAAGAATAAAATTCAAGTCAAATGGCACATATTTTCCGCATAATCCAATAATTGTAGATGGGACTAATAACTTTATTTTCCGAATAATCCATGAATTGTAGATGGGACTAATGCTAGCTGAAAACTTAGTATTTTCATGAGAATGTGTATATATGATTATTAGCACTTGACAGACACAATTTCATTTCCCCATCACAGTAGAAGCTGAAGCATATCATTTATTAAATACATCAAATGTGTATTATGTAGTAGCTTTAAATCATCCGAAAGTGAATTAAATGAAATAACCAACTAGCCTACAAAACGAGGCTCGATTAGCTCATTGCATTGCACCTTCATTTCAAGTTCAAATTCCGGTGCGGCACCTCCTTTGTCCTTTTCTGTTTCTTGGTATGTACATAAAAGAACTATATAGACTGAAAACAGCACCAGGTGCATGGCAAGTGCCTCATGTTCCATAAAGAAAAGAAAAACACTAAAGAAAAAAGGTACAAGAACACAGATAAGCGTTGTTTCTCTACTAGAAAAGAAAGAAATTGATGGAAAAATTTTCTGTAAGGGTATTTTGGCAGCAACTGATCACTTTAAACTGAAAGATGGTGTATGTGGATGTTGACATTATTAGCTCTCCACAATCTTTGGACCGTTGTACATTTTTCCATTTACTTCTAAGTCTTCAAGTTCATCCCTCTCTTGTAGCCATTCATAAGCACTTTTTTCCTCTTCTGGTATGGATATTCCATCCACTGAAATAAATTCCAAGAAATGTGCATCCATTACTAAATAGAATTCAGTAAACTAACACGTGTTGATATATTCTTCGATTTAAACTTTCTACTTTCAATTCCTTAATTAATGTTCTGAGGGCACTGGTTAGTATTTTCCAAACATGCATGCTTTCGTGGCAACTAGCAAGATACCTGAAAAGTTGGAAAAGGGGAAATTATGGTAGTATGTGCAGTGTCTGCCTTCAGGATCAGAATATGGAGGACCAAGCACATCTAGAACTGCACATGCTGTCACTGCGGTGAAACAGTGCAGGTTGCCCCCATCTTCTGGATAAAGGATGGAGGGGTTGCAAGGAGCAGTGAAATCAGCATCAACCTTCACTTTTGCTAACCTCATCTCAGGTAGGCCTGCATAATTAGAATATCAACATTATTTTCTCTTTTCTAAGATGAGGCTGTGTTTACAAAAACAAATTAAGAGAGAGAATTACTATAAATAACCAATAAGTGCTAGTTCACCAGCCTTCTCAAAAAGTGAACAATTTATTTTTAATGCCAATACAAGTGTCCTCTCTCACATTTTCCAAATAGAGAAGAGTGATTCTAAGGCATTTGTTAACAAACTCCGTTTTTTATTATTAAATGGAATTCATGTGGGCCCCCCCTGAATCATGTGGATCCCACTCCATTTTTAGTGGGGCACGTGAAATTCAATAATAAAGAATGTTTTGAATAAAGCATGTCAAAAAGTGTTACTGGCATTTCTCTTTCAGCATGTAAGGAAAGAAGTTTGAAGATATTGCCCAAATAGTTGAACAGATAGTGAGGACATATTTCACCAAGCATCTTGAACTAAGCTAAAAAAAATAAAAATAAAGACTTGGCCAACAATTATATCCATTCTCACAAAAAACCTGATAAGTGGCTTTAGCAATCAATCTTCACCAGGAAATCAGTCACATCACTCTATGGCTTGAAAATAAGTTCATGAGTTTTCAAAATTGGCGAAGCTTTTCTGGTATTTTGGGAGTCTAGTTAATGGGGATCACTATAGGAGAAGTTCCTAATACACACATCATAGGTTTTCTAAAGATGATGCTGGCAAGAAAACCCCTTCTAGGTACACTTCTCCATTACAAAAACAATTTCTTAAACCAAACACACAAATTCTTGATCTTGAACACACAAGGGCATCAAATGTTGAACAGCAGCTTTTTCTTTTTCTATATTTATGACTACTCTTATAATTTAACATGTCTTGGTTGTCCAAAGAATACTTGATCCATGATTATACATTTATTTTCTTTTTTTTACCAAATGAATAAAGCATCATTAATTAATAAAAATAGTACAAGTGTACAAGCATAGGTTATAGTATATATAAAATAGGCAGGTACTTACTTTCTGACGGTTTGATAGTGGTAGGAGATTCAGGAGGCAAGTCAACGACCCAATCATATGACTTGATGTGCATAGTTCCAAAAAGTAGCTTACTGAAAACCGTCATTCCAGGGTGATTGTGAAGAGGAATGACCCCAGAAGGTGGCAAACAAAATATTCCCATCTGCAAGATACAACAAACCAAGGATACTTACCATCAAATGAAAAACAGCACAAACTCTCATGCACCATGAAATCAGGCTCCGGGTTAGAATATACAAATACCGAGAATTTTTCACACTCATAAATATGCAGGTACGTGATTCTTGGCACTCTCTGAGTGGCACTTGTCCTGAAATACGGCATATCAGGTCTCAAACCAACGTCTTCTAGCTTTATTCCATCTGCACAAAAGAGAGACAAGAGTTGCATTGCATGCTTTGCATGGCACATACATAATGAAACTCATGAAAAAAGTACTTTTAACAGCAATTGGTTAACACTTCTTGGCATTACTACAGTGTAGGTGCGTGTGGTCCAGGCAACTGGTCAAGTTAGAGGGTTCCAAAGGAAGATATACTACAAAAAATCAGTGGTTGTATTAAGGTTCAGACATATAAATCCTGCTAAGAATAACGTTAAGATCCCTATGTTTAACAACTCCCACTAAACAATGAGAATTTTGTGCTAGGCCTTCAGCCACAGAATAATTTTAATTTTCACTCTTTAACAATCATCATCATAAAAAAATGCTAAAAACATTCAGCTTATTGCTATCAAATCCATTGATTGGTTGTCTTGTCTCCACCTAATAATACTGACTGAAGACCTTCACTAAGCACTAATTTAGCACATATCACCTAAAGAGCCTAAAATTATGATATAGAGAATCCAAATCATCCACATAAGCTGTCAAATGGATACATGAGAATAGGGCAAGAGAGAGAGCGAGAGAGAGAGAGAGAGAGAAGCGAGAACTTTCACTATGCTTGATGTCCCATTCATATTAAAACACGAAGTTGACATCATCACACTGTGAACTGAACTTATCTCGTGGGGGAACACCAAGCACATGATAAAAAGCATTTTTTTATTTGACAGCCAATGCAGAAACCTCGGAACATATATGCAAGACACATGCATGCATGTTGAGACACAAAATTGCCATATAAAAGAGGCAGAAACCCCCACACAAACAAATTGGTGCAATTTGTGAAATTGAAGCCATACCCAAAAGCATACACATTATTTAATTGAAATGGCACATAAAATAAAGGTAAACAAATAAAATATACCCCTCCAAAAACACCAACCCCATGAGTCCATGACCAAACCAAACCAGATGACTATAATTATAATTCCAATTAAAAAAGGAAAAACCCAACCCATTTCACGCTAGCACATTAAAATTGAGTCTGCAACAGGATTAAAACCACACAAACATCTCCATTCCAGATCAAAATTTTGACACCCCAGATGGGGCAAAAGTGAAAAACCAAAAAAAATAACAACCAACAACGCATGACACAATCACAAACCAAAAGGAAAGAACATGGTACCTAGAACAGACCGCAACTTGTCAATGTCCTGAGGGGGAGGGACAAAGCCTGTCCCCGCAGAGGCAAAGACAACCTTGCAAGTCTCGAAGAGCATCTGAACCGGCGGCGGCTTCCGCCCCCGCCCCCCCCCCGTTCC